CTTGACTTCACACACCAGCCCTGAAAAACAAACTAAAACCGTTAAAAACATTGTATATTTAAACAAACTTGCAGATTAAAACCATAAAATAGACTAAATAATTTGAGGAATTCTGGTTCAAACCCAAATTACATATAAATCCAGAGTTTAAAACTAAATTGCAACAATTCTTTTCTGCTTTTGCGAACTCAATTGATTTGAGGGAAAGAAATCGGTCCCATAAGACTAAATGTCCTTGTGGGACACTGGATAAATAAAAGAGAACAAAGAACATTTTCTGTTTTACTAAACCAAGCAAAACACATGGAGACTTTAGACACATAGAAACCTCACACCATATGGAACACTTCAGGACATTTTTGGATACTGAATCTGAGCTATCTCATGATTTGTTGTTTTGCTAAATTTGTTATTTTCATTCGTTTGAATGTGGAAAAATCAGAGCTATTTTTGTTAACTTTTAAAAAACACCATTTCATTACTTACGTAAATATTAACTGAAAATAAGATATAGAAAAGAAAACTTTTATTTCAGCTAGTTTCATTTTACATTTTCGCTTAAAGTTGACGTAGGCTACTAAAAATAACTAAAACTAAAAACTTTCTAGACACATTAAAACAAAAACTAAAACTAATAGAAATGGCAAAAAAAAAAAAAAACTTTATAAATTACAAGCAGAAAAGGCGCAAAAAAAAAAAAAAACTTTATAAATTACCAGCAGAACATGTTGAACTATTCTTACATAAATTGCCATTTTGAACTTAACACGAAAGAATGTGGGAATTGTTTTATGAATAATTTACACCAATGTTCATGAGAAATCACTGTCATTTCACAGATTTTGACACATGGTCATTCACAATTAGATTGACTAAAAAAAAGTTAAGACCAACAAATTACGTAATTTACATCAAAACTACTAACAGTTTGTCAGTTAAGTCCATAAAGTCATGTTAAGAACTTACAGTTCCTACTCATTTAGTACCTTATGAGGGTCAAGGGTAAAGCTGGGGTGAAGAAAGCTTCCCACATCTACGTGATTGTCGTGGTCAACTTCGTACATGTTATAGGACGGATTCCCGATCTCCACGTTCAAGCCACCATTCGCCATGGGCTGCCGCTGAACCGGTTTACCTCTGTGAAGGGATAAATGTGTATTATCTTTGTATAGTTTTCACAGGAACATTTAGCACACCAGTTAAACGCTGAAGCGCAGCTGGCTTACGAGATTTTCTACAGCATTATCAATAAATCAGATATGTAATATTCTGATTAAACATCTAATCCAGCTAATTACAGATTTGTTTATGTGTTTACCTTCGACATCTTTTGCAAATAAGGAGTCCCACTGCAACAG